TCTCTCTCTCTCTCTCTCTCTTTGTCATTTTGTGTCTGGTCTGATTTTAAAATTCAGGAAATTATATTAACATTTTATTTCAGACCTGAAAGATTGCATGAGTGTTTTGAAAGGTATCTTCTTTAGTGATGGTTTCATGCCAATTCACCCAGATCAGACAGACAAGGTAATTTTCACTACATTAATGTAATATAAAAAATAAGATAAGAAAATTGTCATTTTTTAAATGTAGTTATTTTTGATCAAGGCAATGTGTAGTCTATTAGTTCAAGTTTTTAACCAAACCAAATATTTGAATTCTGTTTTCAAGGAAATAAAATGCAGATTTTTATCTGCTGTTTGAATAGAAGAATTGATCTAAAAAATCTTCAACACACAGTGTTTGAATTCATCTATTTATAATTACACCTACTGGTATCTTTAACAATATTCTGATTTTTCACTTAGACGACTGCAGAACCCCAGGCTGTCTTTGGGGTCAATGACACACTGAGCAAGGAAGTGCATATGAATTTAACTGAGGAGCAAAAAATCGCAATTGAAAAGCTTTTCAAGCAAAAAGGATGGTCAAGTCCGGTAATTTACCTTTTTAAATTATTTATGATATGTAGGTCGTGAAAATTTTGACATTTGACCCCACAGAAAGATGTTGTTGTTTAAATGCGCAAAATCTGTCCACCCTGTGACTTTGAAATTCCCCCTCTATAATGCTATGCCTGTATCATCCTAGATCTATGTTAAAAAAAGAAATTTTGTTTACCATCCCTGTTTACAGAGAGTTGCCATTTGTTAACCAACTTATCAATTTTGTATGACCTTATGGTATATTAGCTACTACATATTTATCAGTAACTCATGTTTTATTTTAAAATTTCTGATAGGAAATATAGAAAACATCTCAAATTACAGCTTCATTTCTGACCTTTTAATTTTCAGATTAAATGTGAAGAATCAAGTGTCCTGGAAAGAAATTTCAATAAGATGGATCTTTTGGAAACGGTAAAAGCCTTCAATTGTACAGCTTTAATTGATGGCAGCAGCCAGAATGAGATATTTCTTTCTCAGCTGGTGGTCGATATATAATCAACTGTGATTGTTGTGTAAACAGCATGTCTAAGCTCATAGATTTGGGGGGAAATTAATACACATTTGATAATATATATTTTTATATGTTGTGAAAACAAAATTTTGGGTACTTGTCAGGCTAGAGCTCTCCCCCCCCCCCCTCCCTGCATGCACACACACACACACACACACACACACACACAGGTGCTCATATCTTTGAAAATTAATATATGTTTGTATTCCAGGATGGAATAGAAGATACACAGTGTGACAGTTTGGACACTACAGATGGGCACAGTGTAGACCTGACGGACCATAAGGCTGGCCACAATATGGACCAGAAACCTGCCTATAGGTCTTTAAGAATGACGTATCTGATGGGAAGACTTCATGAGTTAGAGCTCAGTCTGTCTCATTAAACTGCAGATATAACAAGGGGGGGGGGGTAGTGTTCATATGGGTTACTTTGCAAATTAAAATAAAATTATGCATGAATTTGATTTAGGGCATGTTGCAAAATAGCATTGACAATCTTTTGTGCTTTTTTAAAAACTTTTGTGAGAAACAAATGGGTAGTTTTCATGCAGTGCAAGTGCAGAGCTGTCTTAGAGAAACTTGATTGATAAATTGATTAACCTACATGAGTAAGAGTTATGCCTCTCTCATCAAAAAATTTTATTATAATGTGACCTATGGATTGGCCATATGTTTGTGCCTTGTGATAGACCCTTTACTAGGTTACAAGTTATTTATGTATAAAACTGAGTCAGAGCTGTATCTGTCTCCTATAGACCAGTATGTGTGTCTAGTTTTACATGTCTTTATAATTAGCAATAAAAATTCCATTTTAAAATACAATTTTATATAAGATATGCACATAGTTTGAAATGGAGTGAAGCAATAATCGCAAGAAATATTGGTGCTATGGTATTTTAACAAATGATATCATATCCATCGGTTTTATAAGCCTGGAATAGTCTTATTATATGGTTCTTCTGATTTATCTAAATGTTTCAAGTGGTGTTTAAAATATTGCATCTCAGAATCCCTTTATTTATGACTTTGACAAATTGCATTTTAATCTTTTTTATAAGCCTTGCTGCTGAAATAGGGATTTCTTTCTCTTTTTCTTATATTTCCTACAGGTTTTTGGAAATAATTTAGAATATTGTTCAGTTTTTCTTTTTTGTTTATTTTGAGATGTGCAATCTGTTTTGAAGATAAAAAATTGGGTTAAATTATTATTTTAAAAGTATGCATATTTATTTTATTGACAACAGATACAGGTATTTATTTTGAAGTATCAGGATAACAGAGTTTGAATCAAATCATAATGTAACATTGCACTCAACTTAATACAGAGGTTATCAAAATTTGAACATGTATGAAGCTTGTGAAATTGCCATAAGAAAGCAATAAAATTGAGCTTTTATTTTGAAGTTTTCTTTTTACCTCCTTCACATATCGATAACAGAAATAATCTTATCTGCAACAGAATTAAAAATATTTACCATTATTCTTCATCATAAAGATTGTTGGCATGAATTATATTGTCACACGTGTGTGTAAAAAGTGAAGAATAACTTTAACTTTTCTCTCCGCAACTTGTACAACATTATAAGACCATCAATTTATTAGGTTGATTTGGCCAGCAATTAGATACAAGTAAGGGCCGTTCAAAATTAGATTAGATGCATCGCACTAGCTTCAGCGCAGTCACTCCTGCCCTGACCCCCCCCCCCCCTTCGGTTTCTGATAAATGTATCACACCAATATTTCCCTCTTGAATATTAGAATTTTGACTTGCTGAATCATAGTTCCAAACCGTACCCAAGGGCACCGTTTGCCCTCCAAAGCATTTTCGGGGGCCCTTGAGCAGACCACCCCACACAAATTGAGGGGGCGATGGTCGGCTTCGCATCCGAGGCCTGTCGTTCGGGACCCCCTTCAAATAATCTTGGATCCGCCCCTGTTTATCTTTTAATTTGATTGTACTCATCAAGAGTCCCCGCGGAGTTTGTGCGCACTAGCTTGTGCGATATAACTGGTACTGAACAGCCCCTAATTAATTAAGCAAGGTATATATATTACATCGACTGAATATTTTAAAGTTCCTAGAGCTGTGTTACGTGATGTGCCCTCATGATAGGGCTTGCCCCAGGAAATGGACAATTAAGTAATATTTGTATCACTGTTACTTCATAGCAAGTTTTTAGATAAATTCTATTCAATTACACTTTTCTCACCATTCATTGCAGTTAATTGTGCAATCGGGCAATCTCAACTAATGCAATATAGATGATTTCGGAAGGACGTTCAGTGGTTTTATTATTGTTGTTGTTGTTATTTATTTATTTATTTATTTATTTATTATTATTATTATTATTATTATTATTATTATTATTATTATTATTTTTCGATTGGTTACATGGAAATTAAGTAGGATGTCGGCAGAAAATATGCGTTGAGGATGGAATTGCGTTTTCTATTTGGTCGCATACATATCGCAAACTCCCTATCGTATATTCGAATTTCATTTAACTGCTTTGAAGAACACATTTATTGCCTTTTTTGAGTGGAAACTATAGATCTACGTACTTTCTGGATAAGGACTAATTTTGATAATTCTAACGGAGATTGCGACTGTACAAGGTTTAGGCCTAGAGGGAAATTGATATTTAGTGAGAAAATTCAGCTTCTTTACGAGACTACCAGCAAGAATGTCTTATATTTATTGGAAATAATTTGGTTTTATGCCAAGAGCAATTCACTGTTTATTTATATTGCATAGTCTACGACTATTTTTTTCAAGACACGACGTCACGAATTTAGTGAATAATATTATTCTGTGAAAAAAAATTGTAAGCTAACTTGATCGATAAAATGTCTTAATTGCAGATATCCCTTTTTTAATATGTTACCAACTCTTTTGAATGACTGTTCGTAGTTTAAAGGGATTTGGGGTTATGGGGTTCTTTTTTGTTTGTTTTCGGGTCTTTCGGAGGAGGAGCATTAATTTTAACTCTCTTGGTGAGTCCTTTTATTCTGAATCATTAAAAATTTTTATTTCATCACTAAACTCTGATGGTTAATCCGAAATAATTAAGGAGTACAGGACGTTAAAACCACAGTTTTGTCAATTTCTACAACAAAAGAAACGTTTTATCCGCTTAATATTTGCCCTTCACAGCTTATGTTTTGTTATGCTAATCTCTGAACATTCCTTCGATGAGGCTTATTTTGATTGTACATGACATACCAACTTCTTTCTTTCTAAAATACTATTTAAATTGCCATTTGTACTGTAAGCGTTCATCTTTTTTATACAGTCAATAAGAGACGTATATATAGAATACATTTTGAATTAATTTAGTTAGTTTTCACAATGTTACAATCTAACTGGTTTAAATATGCTAAAAGATCACTAAAATGATTGTGGTACGTCGTGACCGGATTCCATTGCAAGTGACGTCATCGATATCTGCTGTTTCGTATGCAAATAAGCATCATAGTCGAGCAAGATGGAGGAGGACCGAGTTGAGATCTGAGTGGAATTCTCCCAAATTCTTGGCCACAATATGCCCAAGAAGCGCAATGGAGAAATTCCAATCCCCTGTGGCTGGGAGGTTTGCAAAGATTTCGATGGAAAATTATTTTACATCGACCATAACACCAAACAAACAACGTGGATAGATCCGCGCGACAGGTATGTCTCAGTCGTTACCTATTTTATTTTAGTGAGTGACACTGTGTTGACCATTTGGATTATATGTCATATTTTGGCCGCTACTAATGTGGGTTTATACACAAGATTAGGCTTAACGGAAGTGCTATTTTATCCATAGTTGGGTATCGGCTTTATGGTCACTTTTAAGTCATAACTACGATCGTGTTTACCTTCGATTGCGTGTGGAGCAGAAACTGGTCATTTGATAAAGAACCAAAACAGATCAATGTTCACGTTATCTTGTCAAAGTTTTTTCCTATCACCACCTTTTTGGCAAAGACCCTTAGTTGAGGAAAGGGTGACTAAGAGATTGTGAATGTTGTGAATGTAGCTCAGACCGCAAGCTGATTTTGGCAGTAATAGTAACTCATTGTAAGACCAAGAGGGCTTGCCCACAGTTTGTGAACATAATTCAGTAAACCATAGATACCAATACAAGGTGCTNTTGTAAGCTAACTTGATCGATAAAATGTCTTAATTGCAGATATCCCTTTTTTAATATGTTACCAACTCTTTTGAATGACTGTTCGTAGTTTAAAGGGATTTGGGGTTATGGGGTTCTTTTTTGTTTGTTTTCGGGTCTTTCGGAGGAGGAGCATTAATTTTAACTCTCTTGGTGAGTCCTTTTATTCTGAATCATTAAAAATTTTTATTTCATCACTAAACTCTGATGGTTAATCCGAAATAATTAAGGAGTACAGGACGTTAAAACCACAGTTTTGTCAATTTCTACAACAAAAGAAACGTTTTATCCGCTTAATATTTGCCCTTCACAGCTTATGTTTTGTTATGCTAATCTCTGAACATTCCTTCGATGAGGCTTATTTTGATTGTACATGACATACCAACTTCTTTCTTTCTAAAATACTATTTAAATTGCCATTTGTACTGTAAGCGTTCATCTTTTTTATACAGTCAATAAGAGACGTATATATAGAATACATTTTGAATTAATTTAGTTAGTTTTCACAATATTACAATCTAACTGGTTTAAATATGCTAAAAGATCACTAAAATGATTGTGGTACGTCGTGACCGGATTCCATTGCAAGTGACGTCATCGATATCTGCTGTTTCGTATGCAAATAAGCATCATAGTCGAGCAAGATGGAGGAGGACCGAGTTGAGATCTGAGCGGAATTCTCCCAAATTCTTGGCCACAATATGCCCAAGAAGCGCAATGGAGAAATTCCAATCCCCTGTGGCTGGGAGGTTTGCAAAGATTTCGATGGAAAATTATTTTACATCGACCATAACACCAAACAAACAACGTGGATAGATCCGCGCGACAGGTATGTCTCAGTCGTTACCTATTTTATTTTAGTGAGTGACACTGTGTTGACCATTTGGATTATATGTCATATTTTGGCCGCTACTAATGTGGGTTTATACACAAGATTAGGCTTAACGGAAGTGCTATTTTATCCATAGTTGGGTATCGGCTTTATGGTCACTTTTAAGTCATAACTACGATCGTGTTTACCTTCGATTGCGTGTGGAGCAGAAACTGGTCATTTGATAAAGAACCAAAACAGATCAATGTTCACGTTATCTTGTCAAAGTTTTTTCCTATCACCACCTTTTTGGCAAAGACCCTTAGTTGAGGAAAGGGTGACTAAGAGATTGTGAATGTTGTGAATGTAGCTCAGACCGCAAGCTGATTTTGGCAGTAATAGTAACTCATTGTAAGACCAAGAGGGCTTGCCCACAGTTTGTGAACATAATTCAGTAAACCATAGATACCAATACAAGGTGCTTTATTGAGTATTATTTATAGTATATTATTTGTGATAAAATGTATCAAGCACATGCTGCCTCTGACGTTTTAATTTATTACTGGTCCCTTACTTTAATGTTAATGATATCATTAGGAGTTACACATGCACAACAATAAACATACACAATGAGGTTCCTAGGCAGTATTCCTCCGGAGTGATGACACGTTTTAAATATCTATCAAGATTTATACAGAATTTTACCAAATGAGTACTTTCTTACAGTATGTGTAAAAATGTATTAAACATTAATGGTTATGTCATAGAATGTGGTAATCAGAAGGTATGACTCTGGATTTGAATGGAATCAAATTTATAGTGTTGTTTTTTTTTTAAGTTCATAAGTATGATTCCATTACTACTTCTTATGTTACGTAATTATACTAAGACATTAATTAAAAGGAAAAAAACAACACACAGATCCTCTGCTCCCCCCCCCCCCTCCAAATTCATTTCTTGCTGTGTCTTTGACCATGGTTATATTTTATACACCAACTGTGAGTTGTTCTATTCATTAACAAATCATACATTAATTCCTTGCAATTAAAAACCAATTATAAGGTAAAGGGAGCATTAAGTGTTTGATTTATTTCTTAAAAGATTATAATCAGTTGTTTACATCATAAATGTAGAAGTTGGCGTTGTTTAAAAATGCTGTTTAAATAGAATTTTAGATTAGAATTAGAATTTGATATACAAGCTTTAGCTATATTCTTTTCACTGACCATCATTGTACAGTACTAAGTTCCTAGTAAAGCATTGCTACCATAAAAGATATGGTCTTAAGGCCAGCTTTATTTTCACTTAATCAAATGAAATAGTTATATGTAGTCCTGTTAAAATATACTTTTTTGAAAATTGGTTCAATGGGATGCAAGGTATCTTGGGGGGGAGGGGGTATCTATAATGAAGATAGGAATATTATGAACACAAAAATTGTGCAAACACCTTGAAACTTTTTATCTTGTATTCATGGAATAATCATAAGATGTTGAAGACACCAACAAATTACTTCCTGTCAACTGTGTACCGTGGACTGAAAATTTTTACAAGATCCAAAATGTGTCTTGGATTTCAAAACCAGATGCATTTCATATTTCACACCATGCAAAACATTTTGATCATTGGATTCTTCTTTCAAAAATCTTTAAGCTAAACTGTTCTTCCTCATCCATTAAAAAAAAAAGAAAAGGAAACATCTATGCCTGCTAAATATTTTACCCAAGTGCAGTTATGCAGCTTTAGTTTCTATATACCCATGTAGGCTAATGAAAGAGCTGGGTATGCAGATTCCTCCCAGATCTTTTATCAGACAAGATGCAGGGTAGCATCAGATAAGGTAGGATCGCCACATTCTTTAGGGAGAACCAGAGGGAAATTCTACATACTGGTTACCTAACCATAGATAGTACACTAAATATTTTTTTTAGCCGTGAGAGAATAATTGATAAACTTTACTAATAGAAAGTCTTTTTAAAATGCCTTGTCAACATTCCTTACCTGGTAAACTGGCTTTTGCCCATACTTTAATGTTATCTGTATGGACTATCATTCTGGGCTGATTCAAGCATGCCAACAAACCAGCTATTGTATATTAATATTCAGGTCATGGGGGCCACGGAACACTGCAGATAGCCAACAAGTTCATGTTGATATGGAGGGACAAGAGACTTCAAAAAATGAAGGAAGTAAATCTTGATAAAGCAAAGAGATTGGGCTATTATTCCTCCCATATTCGATATTAGTAGCTAAAGGCAAACTTTGTAAATGTCCAACGTTTGATCAAGTAGAAGCAACACTTGTTTGCAGCTATAAAATTTTAGTCACACATGTTGAGGTGCAAAAATTATTTAAAACAGACTAGGATTTACATTTGAATATTTGGGGTACCATTTGTTTTGGACCTACATTGTGAAAAAATGGGGATGGATGGGGGGGGAGGAAAGAGGATTTTAAAGTCATTTTTGTCACTGTGTTAGAAAGTGATTGTTAGTCATGAAAGTGTAGATAATTTGGAAATAAACGGTTTTAAGATATTTGGTCTGTATATGGCAGTTTTAAGCAGATTTTATAAGGGCACTGAAATGCTGTTTATAAACAAATTACTTCACAAAAATATTTTCTTTTTAGAGGCATTGCCTTGAACTTTTGAACCATAAAAATAGAGACAAGTACATATTCTATAAGTACACAGTCACATGCCAGAACCCTTTGAGCACTAAATATTTGCACTAGCTCACTTTTCATTGACTAAAACTTTCATAGCCTATATTATAGTAATGATTTTTTTTTTTTTTCAATTTAGTAAAAAGAAAATTTTGTAATTGTTTATTGGTTGATATTCATTTTTCAGATCTTTATGTAAGATATATTTTATATTTAACCTCTATTATCTTTTTATTGTGACATATAATGTTAAAATGTGTGTATAGAAAATGATTTTCGAAATGTAAGAACAAAGCCAAGCAGGTCCTCTCCCAATAAACTTACTGTACTGTCTCTGCATAGACTTATCACCATTGTCACTTTTCTATAGATTGATTTAGAAATGAACACTTAAAGGTGAACTATGATACAGAAAAATCCTCATCAGTTTGTTTAAGAGATTATTCTCATTACCCACAGAGATGCTGTTTCCTTTGTCTCCAGGAGAACAGAGAGATCAATAGGCTGAGTTCCCAGTGTATTGTGGCAGATGGTAGCTGTACATTAGTAGTTATGCCTGGTATGAGGTCATACATCTCTCCCAGAGATCACTGCCTGGACAGGTGGTTTACCTGCCTACTCCACTGGATACCTTGTGGCAGGATTTACACTCAGTTCAGTCTGGTTCATTAGTGGTGCATTTCTGGTACAGAGTTATGAAATACATCATCTGATCTCTGACCACATCCATAAGCAGGGGTTTCCCCAGGATTTAGGGTACAGGGAGTCCAAAATGTTAACCTGTTATTTGGTCATTATTTGGTATACAGGGAGTCCAACCCAAGCAATCCCAACCAACCAGCTCAAATATTTTGTTAGCCATTCAGCCTTCTTTAAAAATATGGGCCGTCTTTTTGGGCTAATGGCCATCCAAATCATGGCTGGAGGACTCTCTGGGGAAAGCCTTGTTCATAATGCATGTTTATGCACATGAGACTTATGATATAAAAATAGTTTTTACAAATAAGTACTAGTAGTTACACTGTGCAGAATTTCCAA